TATATATATATATATATACACCTTTTTTTTTTCGTCTTGAGGCTTTCAGCTTGCAGAAAAGGAGAGCATCTGATGCGTCTGCTCACATGCCACTTTTGATCGTACGTTGCCTCCTTGCACAGAGCAGGATCGTTGGGAAAGATGGAGATACCATAAGTTGCTAGTAGTGAAAAGTGCTGCAGAAATCCAGAGGTTTCCCTTCTCCGTTGAAAGTGACATATTTTTCCCTGGGTTAAGTTGAAAGCAGTGCTTGGCGGAGAGTAACTGTAGCTGAGAGTGGGTTTGTGTTTTTCTTGCGCCGTTAGGTTTTGCACAGAGCAGCGATGAAGAGGAAGCTGGCACTCTTGGAGATGCAGTTGGTTCTTCTCGTTTTATTGGTGGGGCTGCCAACAAGGTGAGAGGATGTTTAATTTTGTTGTTCAGTACAAATATATATGTTATGTTCTGTCTAGGGTAAGCTTGTGTGAGAGGCTGTAGTAGTATATAGTAATGTGATGAAAAAAATCTCTTCTAGCTGTTCCAGAGCAAACGCAGTGGGAGAAGGCATTGGGAAAAATATAAACCTAATGGCTTGTCCTTAAACAGTTTGTAAATTGATGTTTTATTTCACCATTTGAAAGAAAAGCTATGCTTTTAAATGCTCTGTTGTAAAATTAAGATCTTAAAGATTTATTAGAGCCACTGTATCACTATCAGTCTATACCACACGTATATTTCTACATGCAGATGAACAAATAGATTGTCATGAAGTCAAGTAGCAAATTGCAGTCTCTAAAATAATGCTGACATTCTTTTCATATAGGCTTGCCTTTTTTTGGTCTTATTTCGGTCAACGTAACAGCATTCAGAATGATACTTAAGCTTTTAAACCTCTAGGTGGAGATAGCATACAACTTCACAATCACATATAATAAGACAATAGCCTCATTTATTAATCAACTTTTCATATGTTATTTAGAGTTCTCCACTTCTGAAGTGAAAACATGGTAGAAATTAATTTTAATCATGTAATTAGTTTTATGTTGCCCATAATCCCTGTACATGCAATTAATTGTAGTTTGTGATGTCCGTTCTGTTACTTTGGTTCTCACTGCCCTAAGTCTTGTCCTAATATGGTGAGAGTCTTAAGTCACCTCATTCAAGTTTCCTGTGGTTGAAAATGCCTACATTTATTTTGGCCTATTTCTTACTGACCAAAACATTCACGGAAAATATGTTTCCCTTAATGCCTAACTATGTTGCCATATTAGTTGAGTCACAGTGGGCCAGATCCTGCAAACCTTACTCGTGTGAGTAATCCCACTGACGTCAAAGGGATTACATGCGTAATTATGAGGGAGTTTATGCCTGAGTAAAGTTTGGAGGATTAGACCCTAACATGATATAATCGTATGAACTATTTTTTAGTGATATCTCGACTTCAAAAACTGTTATATCTCAAAAAAGAAGCTTATAACATGACAGAGACTTGTAGTACAAGAATACTATTTAAAAATAAAAAAATAAGACATCCAGTAATCATAATTAGTAGTAAACTCACAGAAAAATAAAATCACAAATGCCATTTTGGTATTTACTTTCCAAGTTATCCGATTTTGGTTGATTCTATGGGATGTATAATGGAAATCACAGACTGCAATGATTTACATTTAAATACTTCCTCCATGCTGTTGAATTGTGAGCCAACACAAAATCCTATCTTTATTTGTTTTGTAGCTTGCTTTAAAAAATGTCTCTTGAACCTGCTTTTGTTTTAGAGTAGGACAAAAACATGCTCGTTTTCATGGCATAGTCAGTCATTCAAAATACCTTCATCAGTCGTTCAGTTACAGATGATAAATACTCAAACATCTCTTATGAGAAGCAGCAGATGACTGAAAAACGTATGAACGATATTGCATGGTAGCGTATGATGCTTTGCTTCCTTGATATTAATATTATGGTATTAATAAGATAGACAAACTCATACTTTTCACATACGTGATACTTAAAAATTGTCGGCACAGTAACATTTGCATGTGTAGGCTTTGTGCGTGGGAATGGTCCCCGGTACACAAAACCTTTGGTTTGGATATCCAGGTCCAGGTGGACTGTTCAGCACCACAGCTGCCTGGGCAGCAGATTCATGTTCCAATCCTTGGTATTTTCCAAGGAGAAAGGACCTGTGAAGCCTGTTACATACCTTTCTTCATTGGGAAAGTTTTGAACAACTGATGATCTATAGAGTCTTCTTGACACTTTACGATTTTTTATCCAACTTTTACAGGGTTTGTCCGCATCTAGCGGAAATTGGATAGTGCTTTTTATACCAAAATACCATTCTGAAAACAGAGGCTATCGACAGCTATCCTGCAGCTTGCTAATCAGCATCATTGTTCCCACCCACCAAATACTGACATCAGAGGACTCCCTGAGCATGATGGCTGGAGCTTTCCCTCCTGTTAGTACCTCTGGTCGTGTACTTTATATGACCATTGGGTGGAGGCAAATCCACAGGATTTGTGCAGAGAAATAGAAATAGTACACAGAGGTGAGGGCAGACAGGATAGAGCTGGAAGGAGACAGTTTTGTGTGTGGGAACTCAGGTTATCAGTCTAGAAGTGACATACCATCGAGACCTGGAAAGCTATTTCAGGCTTTTGTAACTGCACAACTGAATGTGTTAGTGGAGCTTGAAGTAGCACTTACTGTGATGCAATGTGAACTAGAAGTAGAGGCTACTGGAAAATTAATACTGGGAATTTTAAATAGTATGTCACAGACCCTTATGTTTCTGAACATGTTAAACATAAATTGTGAATTTGTATACTCCTAACTATACCGTTCATATTAGAGGGCAGTGTGTTAAATATCCAAGGCTAACCTGCAATGACTGCATGCTGAGTGTATATAAAGCATATCTAGCACTTTGTAAAATATAAAATATCTATTTAGATCAGTACTGGCTGACTCGCTGGAAGATGAAGCTAAGAATAACATCACCATCTTTACAAGAATTCTAGACAGACTTCTGGATGGTTATGATAATCGTCTTAGACCTGGATTAGGAGGTAATAAAAACAATTAAAAATGGATTTAAAAAATCAGGTTTTAATGTTCCGCATTTGTTATTGATGGAAAGATATTCTTCCTTCAGGGTTTTTTTTTCCCCTAACAACTGGTATGTATTTTGATAAATTATTTATAACTACATTCACTCAGTTGAATCATTTGAAATTTGAGGAAGATAACATCTATGAATGGAGAGCAGGCACTCTCACACATTTATCTTAGGTAAAAAGAAAAAAAAATCTGGAGATTTAGCATAGTAAAACAGAATGAGAACAAAAATAACATCTAAGGCTGTTATTCCAGTCAGGGAATTTTGGTTGAGCAAGGAATGCAGACTTGGTTCTCTGCAGTGCGATGAGTGTATGTTTTCAGAAATCTGCACACGTGTTTTGTGTGTGGTGTAAAATCTACATTTTAGATTCATTTGTTGTACCAGTAAATTCAATGGGAATGTTATATCTTTGACTTCCTTGGAATTAGGATTTGACTTGCAATTAGCATTTTGTTTCTGGGTATTTTACATGTATTTGGGCATTGGAAAAAATAATGGAAATATTGGAGGGTAGTTGTTTTTCAAAATATCATTTTTCATGTTCATTTTAAAGCTGTAGGCTAGTTCCTATAAATATGTAAGCAACAAATTGAAATAATGTATTTGGTATTAGGAGTGTTACTGTGCAGAATGATCTATATGCTATGCAGAGGGGCAGAACATCTTGATTTTGATAATATTTTATCTTCTATTATTATTAATCTACCTTTTATACTTAATATAATAGCTAACATAAATATTTACATATTGATAATAAAACTGTTACTACTGTTATTATTCGTAACAGTTTTGGTAATTGTAATTTTCAGCCTGGGACTGTTTCAGCTTGCTAAAGCTAAGAACAATACACAATTTGTTAGAGACATTCAGGCTCCTGTTGGTTTCAGTAAGATCAAGCCCAAAGCTATAGATCTGTTCTAACGTCTGTGAAAATAATTTCAACAACTCCATTTGACCAGATGAGGAATTGGTTAAAGTTCACAGTTTTTAGTCAACACTCTTCCAGCCTAACCTGTGGCTCTACTGCTGTTCTGGGTCTGAGAACCTTGGCTGGCACCTGACAGACCATAAGGTGGGAGTTGGCAAAGGCTGGCAACAACTGTCTCGTTATGCATTAATCTTGGAGTATCTTTCCGTTTGCAATTCTGGCCTCTGTACAGTTGAGACTTGTGAAATACTTTATATTAAAAGGCTGTTTATTTAGATGATCCACAAAATGAGACATACAGTGCTGTAGATGGATGTGAGAATCTGCATAGTGATGTTTTCATGGAGATTCAGTTTCTCTGCAAAATACCCGATTTAAAGAATTTAGATGTAGTGTGAACATACTATGCCTTGCAGGTGACCTGCAGAAATATTTTATAGCATAAAACTTGAGTTTAATTTGGAGGGATTTTAAAATCATTTTTCATTAGAAAAATGATGACAAGTGTTTTTCTTGTTTATGTGCCATTTAATGAGAGCAGTCTGCAGTTCCTTTGCATATCAAGCCTTCTTCTGAATAGTAAAATTTATATTGTTGATTACATGAATTTACAAAACTGTATTTCCTGGTGTATTTTTATTTTATTTTCCAATAAATCTACTTTAAAGTACTTCCCTTTTTTTCCTTTTCAAGCCTCTAGGTAATTTGAATATACTCTAGGAGCATAAAAATTAAGGAATTAACAGCTGTTTGGTGTTGGCATACATGGCAGTCAACCCATGCAGAACATGTGTGAAATGAAGCTACGTCATGCATATTAAGCCGTAATGATTCATGATGCATTAATGTTAATCTGTAAGAAAATTTCAGTTGTCAATGGACAGATTATGATAGTTTGAAAGAACACTTGTAAAATTAAGTTGTGATAATCCGTGATATGAAATGTACCAAACAACACTTTTATAGATAATACTTACCAATTATGGAGCTTCTTATTTCAGGAATTTTATTCATTTTTCTTTGCTAACACGTATTCTAAAAAGAAAAAAGGGAGTGATTGGTTATTGAAGCCCCCCTCCCCTTTTTTTTTTAAACACTTTGTGTCTGGCGAGTCTTGATAGTTTCTGAAAGTGTTCTTGCAGACTGCTGTGTTTTAACCATGCCAACATGTCGTTAATTTAATATACTTAGTCTCAATTCTGTTCAAGGTACTTTTATACAAATTTGAATTAATTCATTTGAAACCGGTAGAGAATTTAATCTGGCATAGCAGCTTGCATTAGGCCACTATGCTTATATGACTGAGATCACAATCTAATCTGATCATAATCTGAGATCACAATATGCTAAAACAGAAATAGTCTAGGATCTGAGATGAATTCTTTTAAAGTCTTCTGAAAGCAAAAGTTACTCACTGGCCCACTTTTACCTGATATATTTTCAGAGACGTCTTATAGCAAAATCCAGCTCAGTATAGAGAAATACTCAACTCAGAAATGTTTTTTTAAATAATGAAGAGTGTTAGTTCAGCTTTGAGTATTTTAGCAAGCTACTAAGCAACAAAATACATTACAATGAAACGTATAGGCTTCTTCAGAGACTGTGTAAAAATTCTGCTTCAGCATAGGTCTATTTGGGAACTTGTTCTTGAATTTAGGGATAGATTTATAAGTAATTTTACTGGGAAACTTGGTGTGAGTGCTTACAGTGTGTAATTGATGCTTTAGTGATATATTGATGCACTTCAGAACTGAGAGCTATGTTCTATATACTGTTGGGGCAGCTTTGACTTTTATTGTTGATGCGGATCTGTTGTAAAACCAGTTTTTGGCTGTTGGAAAGTCATCCTAGCAGCTGGGATCCTTGAATGATGTATGAGTACTACAGTGATGCAGTAGCCTGCAAAGTGGGTGTGGACAGGGAAGAGAAGACACTGCACTGTCCCCTGAAGCCAGAGATATTTCGTATGTATTAGATAACCCCAAAATCTACTGGGTTGATGTGGATAGGGATGAGGTTATTCAAAACTGGATTAAAATTCTTCTATACTTATCTTATACTAAGCATTGGATCATAGCTGGAACACTCCTGACTACACTGTCGTTTCTGACATGAACTATTTTACTTAAACATTCTGTGCAATGTCTGTTTAGATAGCAAAATAAATTAAAAGTTTTGTTTCAAACCAAATTCTATGTATTAGCACTAATTTGTATGAAATAAAGCCGTGCAAAATGACAAGTCATACAGAGGTTGGTTGTTTATTATTTTCATAAAAATCTTGAAGGAATTTTCTTATATATAGTTGCTGTAATGTTTGCAAGACATTTAGGATAGCACTTTTCTACAAATCCTTTGACTTTATTAGCTTATAGAAGAAGCAGTCTACAAAACAGTGGACACTAGAACTAAACAAGGGAACAAAAGAGACTTCAAGTTTTTAAACAGGCAGACAATAGAATGTTGAAGTTCAGATACAGCTGCATTCAAATCGGGAAGTAATTGAGTTATCTGTCTGTGCTGTGTCTGCTTTCCTCCACCCCATGGGCAGACATGATTAAAGGAAATAGGGACAAATAGTAAGGCAATCCCATCTTTTAGTTTGTTGATATTCTTGTGTATTAGGTGTATCGTCAATAACAGTATTCATACATGTTTTTTGAAATGTTAGCTTCTTTTCAAAAATGAAAAAGAAGAAGGAAGGGAGAAGAGATGTAGACCGTGCTAGGATTTTGATATCATATTGGGTGCCCCAGTAATCTGACTATCTCTATTAGCTATTCAGCCGTCTTTCCTTTCTCATATTTGAAATTGCTCTTTTCTAGCAGCTGTAGTACTTGTATCAATTCTGCTTACCCAAATTTAGAAAATATAATCGAATACAAGACTCAATTAGAAAAGGTGAATTTGTATCTTGAAAAAATGTAGTGGGGAGTTACGAAGAAGTGGACTTCGTTATCTGACGGCCAGATTTCAAATGCCATGTTGCCATTGAAAAGAGCTGCACAAATTTATACTGTTTGAGACTGTTTCCACAAACTGCAGTAAGTCTCAGTGGCCTTAGGAATGGCATTGTTGTTGTAACTAGAGAGGTTAATGTTGGCTCTCCAAAAAAACTCTGGCATATTAGACAGTAGGTAAATGAAAACGAGATACTACCGTGGTTCCATTTTGGAGAGCCTCTCTGCTGCAAGGTGACTATCAGATGTTTTGATTGTGTTAAATGAGAATCTCCATTAGCTTTCACTTTCAGATATACTGAAATCTTTTTTTCACAATGTTTTATAAATGGGTTGCGTGGGATAACTGAAGGGAACTGATAAAGATTATTGCTGATTATTGCTGTCTGAGGGATGGTGAGCAGTGACCAGCTACAGGCATGATCATTCATCTTTGCAGTAGTGGAGATATCCTCATATAGAATAGTGCAGAGGGTAAGGCTCAGTGATTAAAAGTTGTATAGTGTGCTTATCAGTATGAGCTAAAAAGGGAAAAAGTATTTTTTCCACAGGAAACTTTTTTCCTAGTTAGGACAGCTATAATATATGTGTATATCAAAGCGTTGTATGTTTCCAGTTGCCAGGAAACAGGACCATCATCATATATACTGATAATATGGAATATGCTAAGCTTTGGGCAACGTATTTATATAGCTCTGTGATTCACAGAGTTGTTAATCAGCTTCAGAAGCGTTGGCAGCAGTTTTAGCAGTCCCCCAGCTGCAGATTCAAAACTTCAGCAGTGTTTGTCAGCCTCATCCTGCTTGATACAAATTCAGAGCAGCCTTATGGAAGGCCCTTGAACTATTTTTCCTGCACAATACTACAAGGATTCTTTCACTGCTGTTTTTAAAGGAAAAAGGTGCAGTATGCTCCTGCTCAGTTCCTTCTGTATGTGTGGTTGCTACCCTGGCCCTTCTTTGCCCCAGTTTCATCTTTTAGAGAAGATAATGCCTCTGCCAGTGCTAGTGCAGAGCAGCTCAGAGCAGCACCTGTATTTTCTGAAAGCACACTATTTAT